TCCTCCCTCCTCCTCTTCCCTCCTCCTCCTCCTCCTCTTCCCTCCTCCTCCTCCTCCTCCTATTCCTTCTCCTCGGGGCGGCGGCCCGCCCGAGAGACCTCCTCGCGCTCTGCGGGCGATTTGTTTCGTTCTGCTTCGCGGCTTGGGCGCCTCTTCGCCACGGCCTCGGGCCGCGGGGCCGACGTCGGGTCGACATCGGGCCGACGTAGGAGTGACCTGTCGCCGGAGGGGCCCCTGGTGTCGGAGCGGGGAGAAGCGACACCAACACCACCAGGGCGGGCCAACTCCAGCGAGGAGGCCCACGACGCCTCCCGGAGCTGGGGGCGGGGGATGTCTCGCGCGAGAGGGGGGACCACGCCACCAGGGAGATCCCCACTGCTCCTCGCAGCTCTTCGCCCTGGCGGTGTTGGTGTCGCCTCTCCTTGGGCCCAGTGGGCTCCCTCCGATCGCTGGGCGCGAAGTGGCAGCAGCGGCTCGTGGGCCCAGGCTCGGCCCCCCCCGCGTGCCCCCCTGTGAAGCCGCGTACCGCGGGCCACCCTTGCGCCACCCTTGCCCAGGGGCACTCCTTGCGTCGCACAGCCGATCGCTCCGGCTCGAGAGGTGCAGCAGAGAGTTGGGCGTTCGGTAAGGGGGGAGCGATACATGGGGGGGCGCCGAGGGTTGCACGGAAGGGGCCCCGAAGGCGCCCCAAACGAGCCCCCATAGGGCCCCGAAGGGGTGCGAAAGGTGCACGAAAGGGGCACCTTTCTTACCTCCCCATCCATCGCCCCCCCATTACACGCCGGTTTTTGAAAGTAGGTATTTGTGGATTCCCAGACCCCAATCTTTTTCAAGCGCCTTCCTACTTCAAGAATCGGCACGCTTTGGCTGTGTTGTGTTATTCTCTGGGGGGGCCTGGACCCAATCCACTTTTTTCCGCCTTCCTACTTCATGTGTTTACCTGCTTCCTCCGACCGACGCGTAGTGAATAGGGGATGAAGCAGGAGGCGACTCAGGTTCATGATCGGATCGATGGCTTTTTCTTTATATCCCCATGTCAACCTTTCCTGCTCCTCTTCCCAGGTGGGTGTATGGGGTCTCCTTTCTTCCCCACGTGGATCCTAGGAATGCCTGGTTTCGTGCAGGGGTGGGGGGTGGAACGGACCGGCAGTATGAGGGAGGCGGAGAAAGAGAAGGATGAGGAAGGATGAGGTGTGCGTGGGTGTTGGAGGGGTGATGAGAAGATGAGTAGAGAGGAGGAGGAGGAGGAGGAGGAGGAGGAGGAGGATAGGAGGAGGAGGAGGAGGAGGAGGAGGAGGAGGAAGAAGAGGACGAGGCAGGAGGACGGAGGAAGAGGAGGGAGGGAGAATGTGGAGGATGACGCGGGCGGGGGGAGGAGCGGAAAGGAGCAGCAGAGAGGGAGGAAGGAGGAGGATGAGGAGGACAAGAAAGTGGCCAAATAGGAACAGCGGCACGGGAGAAGCAGAGCGCCCCCCAAATCTGGATCCTCCATCCTCGATCCCCCTGCCCCCGCCGGGCGCCTGGCTCCCTCGCGCCCTCCCTCGGCGCCTCGGGCCACGATCGGGCCGAGAGGCTCGAGGCGCCGATGGGGGGAATCGCGGGTGGGGAGAGGGTCGAGGATCGAGGGGATCGAGGATCCTCCTCGGCCTCCCCCCGATCCTCGGTCTCGAGGGGATCCTCGATCGGGGGGAGGATCGAGGGGATCCTCGAGGGGATTCTCGAGGGGATCCTCGAGGGGATCCTCGAGAGGATCGAGGATCGAGGGGACCCTCGATCTCCCCGATCGGGGGGCATCGAGGGGAGCCTCGATCTCCCCGATCCTCGATCCTGCCCCGCCCCCCCCCCCGGCCAGGACGGGAGCGCCAGCCCGCCGCCCGACGCGAGAGGCCGGCGCCGGGGCTCGCCGAAGAAGGCCCCGCGGCCGCCGAAGGACTTCGGCACGAGCGAAGGGGGCATACGCCGGTCGTTGAGAGCAGGTTTTTTGGGGGCTCCCAGATCCCAATCTGCTTCAAGCGCCTTCCTACTTCCAGAGTCGACGCGCTTTGGCTGTGTTCTGTTGTTCTCTGGGAGGGCCTGGGCCCAATCCACTTTGTCCGCCTGCCTACTTCATGCTTTTCCCTACATCCTCCGACCGACGTGTACGGAAAGAAAGGGTACCATGCCCAGCAGCAGTTCCTCTTCATTTTGAACAGGACTCGCTGTCCGCGCCTTCTGGTGTTCCAACCTACTGTCCTTGAACGCCAAAAATAATTTCGAGCACCAAAGAAGTACCGAGACTCGGGGGTGTTCACTCGTCGGGCCCTGGGAGGCGATCTTCGTTTGACACTGTTTCGAGACTTCTCTTGGTGCTCGACATTATATCTGGGATGTGGATGGGAGCAACATGCCCAAAAGCAGATCCTTCTCATTCTGAACAGGACTCGCTGTCCGCGCCGCTGCGGCCTGTGTCCATGTGAGGCAGGGGCCCGCCTGGCCCCACAGTGGCCGCTGTTTGTCTGGGACAACATCTTTCGGATGCAACTCCTGGGAGGTCAAATTCTGTTTTCGCCGTGGTCCGAAATCCGGCTCTAATCCAGCTGAAGCCCGCTGAATCGGGCTTAATTCGCTTAATCCTGCTTAGTCCGAGGCCCACTCCGGCGTAACAGCTCCCGAACGGGGCTCAACCCTCCGTAATCTTTCCGACGACAAGCCTCCCAGTAGTTGCCCCCTGAACATCTGTTGTTGGGCACTGTGCCCATTTGTCCGCATCCATTCCGGGCGCCCAGACAGGAGGACGCTGCGCGGGACCCGCGGCCCCCGGAGGAGCAGGCCGCCGATCCGGCCGAGGAGGAGACGTCGAGGGCCGAGGGCCGGGGAGCGAGGGCCGAGGCTCTCGGAGGAGGAAGATCAACAGCCTGGACCATACCCCTATCCCTATGCTAGGCATCTCCTCATCACGATGCCAATCTTAGGGTTTCCCCTTTTTCCCTACCTAGGCTCTGCCTAGAAGGGTTCGTACTCTCTTAGCTTAAGGGGCCGGGCAGTGCTAATCGCCCCGGGCGGTTCCCCCAGTCCCCTGGGAGCGGTTCCCCCCAGTCCCCTGGGAGCTTTAGCTTTAGCTTTAGCTTTAGCTTTAGCTTTAGCTTTAGCTTTAGCTTAGCTGTAGCTTAGCTTTAGCTTAGCGTTTCGCTTAGCGTTTCGCTTAGATTTTAGCTTAGCTTTAGCTTAGCTTTAGCTTAGCTTTAGCTTAGCTTGAGCTTAGCTTGAGCTTAGCTGCAGCTTAGCTGCAGCTTAGCTTTAGCTTAGCTTTAGCTTATCTTCAGCTTAGTATTAACTTAGCTGTAGCTTAGCTTTAGCTTAGCTGTTGCTCAGCTTTAGCTTAGCTTTAGCTTAGCTTTAGCTTAGCTTTAGCTTAGCTTTAGCTTAGCTGTTGCTCAGCTTTAGCTTAGCTTTAGCTTAGCTTTAGCTTAGCTTTAGCTTAGCTTTAGCTTAGCTTTGGCTTAGCTTTAGCTTAGCTCTAGCTTAGCGTTACTGTTACTACTAATGCTGCTTTCCTAGGGGTTCCAACTCCTAGGTAGGGTCGCACTGGGATATTTTTTTGAGGGCAACTCCCTAAGATTATCATCGCCTTTTGGCGTGTCAATCTTAAGGATAGGGATACGTTCGAGGCTGGTAAGAAGAGGGCACTCCAGGTCTGTCAATCGGCGTGGGGGGGTGGGTCGCGCGGGGGCGTGGGGAGCCCGCTGTCCTTCGGGGGGCGTGGGGAGGTCGGGAGCGAGAGGGGGTGGGGTTGGGGCGCGTGGGGGGGCGGGCAAGGGGCGCCGGACAGGTTGGCACAGGGGGGGGGGCTTATTGGAGGATCTGGGGTACTCATGCCGCTGCCCTCCGCCCGCTGTTCTTTTTTCCCGGCGGAGCTGGGTGAAATTCCGTGCCCGCCAGTGATTGATTGACTGCGTGACTGACCGACTGACTGGACGTCAGGAGGGCACCTTGAGCAACACGTTTCAAACCGTCCGCGGGCGCGCAACCGCAACTGGGCGACACATCTCGACCCGTCCGCGGGCGCGCAACCGCAACTGGGCGACACATTTCAGCCCGCCCGCGGGCGCGCAACCGCAACCGAAACTACGGGACACATTTCGACCCGTCCGCGGGCGCGCAACCGCAACCACAACTGGGCGACACATTTCCACCCGCCCGCGGGCGCGCAACCGCAACCGCACCTGGGCGACACATTTCAACCCGCCCGCGGGCTCGCAAGCGCAACTGGGCGACACATGTCAACCAGCCCGCGGGATTGCAACCGCAACCGCACCTGGGCGCCACATTTCAACCCGCCCGCGGGCGCGCAACCGCAACCGCAACTGGGCGACACATTTCAAACCCACCCGCGGGCACGCAACCGCAACCGCACCAGGGCGCCACATTTCAACCCGCCCGCGGGCGCGCAACCGCAACCGCAACTGGGCGACACATTTCAAACCCACCCGCGGGCACGCAACCGCAACCGCTACTGGGCGACACATTTCAATCTGTCCGCGGGCGCGCAACCGCTACTGGGCGACACATTTCGGCCCGCCCGCGGGCGCGCACCTGCAGCCGCAACTGGACGACACATTTCAGCCCGCCCGCGGGCGCGCAACCGCAACCGCAATTGGGCGACACATTTTAACCCGCCCGCGGGCGCGCAACCGCAACCGCAGCTACGCGACACATTTCACACCGCCCGCGGGCGCGCAACTGCTACTTGGCGACACATTTCAACCCGCCCGCGGGCGCGCAACCGCAACCGCAATTGGGCGACACATTTCGACCCGCCCGCGGGCGCGCAACCGCATCCGAACATGGGCGACACATTGCACTCCGCTCGCGGGCGCGCAACCGCAGCCGCACAACTTACCTGCCGTCCTCCTCCAGGGGATCTGAGGCGGAGGAAGGGTGGGAGAGAAGTGGGAGGGAGGGGGGAGGGAGGGGGGAGGGAGGAGGGAGGCGGGAGGGAGGAGGAAGTTATGGGGGGAGGGAGGGGGGACGGAGGGAGGGTAGAGAGCTCACAATGATTGTGGGCGGACAACTTCTGCCCCCCCCCCCCCCTGTTCCACGCAAGTGGATCTCCACAAGGCTCCAGACCCTGGATTCCTGATCCAAGGCCTCCACGGTCCGCTAGCGTGATGATAGGGTGGTGCTGCTTGAGAAGGTGCACGCGCAGGTGCTTGTTGCTGAGGGCGGAGGAGGATGAGGTGGTGGACGTCAAGGAGGATATGGGCGTGGAGGTGCATGTCCTCCTCGCGGCCTCCGGGCGTGACCCGCGGTTTTCCGCCGGGACATTGCAGCGGGGAGTCCAGATTCCACGCTGCTGCTTCTGATTTTTCTCCTGGGAGGCCGTCGCCGCCACCGCTGGCGATTGTTTTTCTTGAGTCGGCGTTATCCGGGTGGGGATGAGGAGGGGGCCAGCCAACAACCTAACCTTCGCGCTGTGGGCAGCCATGCGTATGCCCGCGCCCCCCCACGCCGGTACCTGCACAACCGGCAAGGTTAAGTTGTTTTTTTGGGGGGGGAGGGGGGGGACAAGCCCGATAACCTGGGTTATCGCCAGACCCTAAACAAAAATCGGTCTCTTGGGTTCGTTCCAAACGCGCGGTCAGACTGCGCCCTGGGAGAAGCCCGGGGAGCAGCGGCATCGGTGCCTCGCGCTTTTGCCAAAGGGTCGAGGGTCAACAAGGCGGGGTCCAGGGCCCATGATCGAGGATCGGCGGAAGGAGGTAGGGAGAGGAGGAGGAGGAGGAGGAGGAGGAGGAGGAGGAGGAGGAGGAGGTGGAGGAGGAGGAGGAGGAGGAGGAGGGGAGGAGGAGGAGCAGGAAGAGGAGGAGGAGGAGGAGGAGGAGGATAATGAGGAGGAGGAGGAGGAAAGGGGGGGGGGGGAGAGGAGGAGGAGGAGGGGGAGGGGGAGGAGGGGAGGAGGGAGGAGGAGGAGGAGGAGGAAGGAGGGAAGGAGGAGGAGGAGGAGGAGAGGAGGAGGAGGAGGAGGAGGAGGAGGAGGAGGAGGAAAGGAGGAGGAGGGAGGAGGAGGAGGAGGAGGAGGAGGGAGGGGGAGGAGGAGGGGGGAGGAGGAGGGGAGGAGGAGGAGGAAGAGGAGGAGGAGGAGGGGGAGGAGCATGAGGAGGACAGGAGGAGGAGGAGGAGGAGGGAGGAGGAGAGAAAAGGAGGAGGAGGAGGAGGAGGAGGAGGAGGAGGAGGAGGAGTGAGGAGGAGGAGCGAGGAGGAGGAGGAGGAGGAGGAGGAGGAGGAGGAGGAGGAGGAGGAGGAGGAGGTGGAGAAGGAGTGGGCCATCGGGCGAGGGGCGAAGGCTTCTTGGACGCACCGCTGCTTCTTAAAGGGCGCGGGCCCTGTCTGTGCACAAGGGGGCTTCGAAATCCGCGTCAGAACGCGCCCGGGGAGAGGTCCGGGGAGTTGCGGTATCGGTACTTTTTGGCTTTCCCGGGGTCGCTCGAAACAGAACCATTGACTATCCCTCCCACTACGGGGTCCCCAGAACTCTCGACCCCGTCCTTGGGAGATTCGCCTCGTCCCCAATGTCTAATGGACGGTCTGGACCCGCAGCCCGAGAAAGGGACCTGAACGCCGAGAACGTCAGAACACCTCTCGTGAGCGAATGTGCAAATCGATGGAGCTGCGGAAAGGACGAGGAGATCATCACAATGTTTTTCCTGCCCTCCTCGGCCCCCAAACAGTGCCTCCCCTTGCCAGGCCTGGTGTCTCCTCGAAGTCCTGGTCGGAGAGCGCTTCAGGACATGTCCGGGGAACGATTGTGAATACTGAGAGGAGACAGGAGAGGAATGATGTTGTTTCGCTTGAAGTTTCGCACCCAGTTCTGGACGGTTTTAGTAGTGGTCGGGTCCGCGGGAGGTTCCCAGAGATCCCTCGAGGTCCCTGGAGGTTGCCCAACACGTTTTAGGAGGGCTCCACAGTGGCCCAGAAGCACACAACATTACAGCGCCAACAAAAACCGCCCATGAACCTCCACGCCCGACTTCGAGCGTCGAGGAGGAGGTGGAGTTCTGTAGCACACCCTCCTGTCCCGAGTTCCCTCCTCACGAGTCCCCGAGGGTCTTCCCTTCCGTTACCGGCAGTGTCCTTTGTTTTGGCCGTCGACGGCCGCCAGAGCCCGCCGCCAGGTTGGCATGAAGCACACGGGTCCTGGACCAGCTGTCCTCCTCCTCCTCCTCCTCCTCCTCCTCCTCCTCCCCCTGGCCCTCTCCTCCTCCTCCTGCTTCTCTTCCGCCTCCTCATCCTCCTCCTCCCCCTCGTCGGGGCACGCCGTGGAGTTTCCTCAAAGCCCGAAAGCGGCGGAAACACCCAGGGCCCGTTTCCCTCAGGACCCGCTGGCTTCCTTCCAGGCATCCCAGAGGGGGTTCGAGCACTTGCGCTGCATCTTCGGGGGACCTCGCCTGTCCCCAACACTGGTGTTTTTGTTCTTGTGCCCGACGCGGGCTCGATGCGGACTCAACTCGGATGTCGTCTTGGATTCGACGCGGATTCGACACATATCGACACGGGATCCGACGGGTCCGACACGCGGATTCGGCACGGCTTCGTCGCGGGTAGAGCCGCGGCGGGACAGATAAGGTCCCCCGAGGATACAACACAAGATTGGGGGCGGAGGATGGCGCCGCATCGTCGATGCGACGCGATGTGCAGCCCGATTTCCTCCACAACGACGTCGCTGCTGTATCGCCGACGTCGCCGATGCATCGTTAATGCATCGGCGATGCGTCGCGATCCTCCGACCCCACCTACTCGGACCGTATTTGGGCGACGCAAGAAACTTGGGCCGTCTGCGCCGACACGGGCGCGAGTAAACGCCCTCGTTTCCAAATGGGGCGTCCGCGCAATGAGCCGCCGCGTAAGCCTATCACATCGTCTCGCGTAAGACACCTTTCTTGTCGTCGGGGTCGTCACGACACAACCCCGCCGTACTCGGAACCCATGTATCAGGAAGGAGAGAAACAACACAGACACACAGAACCGCTTACTCCCAGGGAACTATCAGAACATATGGGCAGAGGGGGGAAAACGGAACCCAAGAACATTTACGAGACAATGTGGGGAATCCTTGGATTTGCATGTATTCCTTTGCTTGTCCCTGGGCCCCTTCCGTGTAGGAGGCCTCCGTTCATGGCGAGCGATGGCCTCCGTAGCCCGCCGGTGGCCTCTTGAGACGGTCGGCGCCAGCCCCTGCGGCCGATGCGGGGAGGCCTCCGCCCCGCCGCCGCCGAAGCGGCGGAACTGCCTGGAGATGGGCGTGCCCGCGAAGCGCGGGGCCTAAGGGGCGCCGCCCGCAGGAGGGAGGGCCATGCCCCCACCCTTCCCCCTGGCATCGCTCGGACGTGTGCATTTTTTCTCGGCGAGAACCATTGAGGACGATACTGGACCATCGAGCAAGAAAAACACGCACGAAACCGAAACATGCACGGGTAATGGACGTCCGAGCGATGGGTCCCTCGTCTTCCCCCTTTTTGGGGGGCCTCCTGGGAGGCTCTCGTCGCCACCTCTGGATTCGCCCCGAGATCCTGGGCAGAGCGCACCCCGGGAGAGGTCCGGGGAGGGGAGTGGCGGTATCGGTACCGTTGTGTCTCCCCGGGCCCGGGCTGGACGAGTGCCAGGGGCTGCCAAGAGAAGGGTCCCTGAGATTCTGGCGTGGCAATTTGTTCGAGCCGGGCGTGTTTCGTCCGGTTTCGGGCCCTCGCAGATCGATACATCTCGAAGAAAAGCGAAGAAAGATGGGCTCTCGGGCTCTGGACCTTATTTGTCACAATGTTTCGATGTTTTTGCAACTCTAGAGTGCATTCGCATGCGCCAGCATTTGGCCATCGGTGAGACTATCTGACTATAGCGTCGGTTAGCGTTGATTAGCGTCGATTTAGCGTCGATGAGCCTTCCATGAGTTGCCGCAGAAGAGGGGTGATCGGATATTGCTAGAAGGCCCACCCAGACGACTGCGGAGATCTGCACTGGTTCACTCGACATTGGCATTCCGCTAATCGACGACCGTCTCGGTTGCTTTTTGACGTCGGCTCGCCATTTCGCTGAGGTCCTCTCCGAAGGAGGTGCCGTGCGCAAATGGAGTGCACCTGGCAGCTGTTACTAAAATGCGTTTCGCCCAAGGGTCCTCTGTCACTCTTCGACAAGAGGGGAGGATGACTTGGGGCAGGGCTGGACCTAAACGCTGCTTTGCTGGACTTTGGCTGTGTTCTGTTGTTCGTTTTGGCAGGGGGTCACAGGAAAACAGGTAGGGCAAACCGAACCAACAGCACGAAAGCACAACCCAACGTGGCGGCGGTGATTGTCGTTGCTGGAGCCGTGACTTTGGCCAAGATCGTCTTGCACTCTGTGATGTCGTGGCTGCGGCCGTGGCCGTGTTAGCGGCCCGCAATATCGTGGCGTGGGAGGAGGAGGAGGAGGAGGAGGAGGAGGAGGAGGAGGAGGAGGAGGAGGAGGAGGAGGAGGAGGAGGAGGAGGAGGGGAGGAGGAGGAGGAGGAGGGGAGGAGGAGGAGGAGGAGGAGAGGAGGAGGAGGAGGAGGAGGAGGAGGAGGAGGAGGAGGAGGAGGAGGAGGGGGGGGGGAGGGGGGGGAGGGGGAGGAGGAGGAGGAGGAGGAGGAGGAGGAGGAGGAGGGGAGGAGGAGGAGGAGGAGGAGGAGGAGGAGGGAGGAGGAGGCGGAGGAGGAGGAGGATGAGGAAAAGGAGGAGGAGGAGGAGGCGGAGGAAGAGGAGAAGGACGAGGAGGAGCACGAGGAGGAGAAGGAGAAGGAGCAGGAGGAGGAGGAGGAGGAGGAAGAGGAGGAGGACGAGGAGGAGGAGAGAGGGGAGGATAAGGAGGAGGAGGAGGAGGAGGAACAGGAGGAAGACGAGGAGGAGGAGAGGGGGGACGACAAGCTAGGTGCGCTCGCGTCCTATCTGACATCCTACCCCTCCCTCCCATCCCTTACGTACCATGGCGCAGATCCACTCTCTGTTCGCACAGTCAGATGTCGAGCAGGGCAATGATCCCGAAAGGGTACGCGATGCATTGTAGAGCACGGCATGGCATGGCGTAGAAGAGCACCGCAAAGCGTAGTATCAACCTAGCATTGCATTGCACGCCGTGGCATGGCACGGGAAATGACGCCAGCGCTGCAGCGGGAGCACGAGTCGAAACAAGCGGAAGCGCGGAAATGAGGCCAGCGCTGCAGCGGGAGCACGATTCGGAACGAGCGGAAGCGCGGAAATGAGGCCAGCGTTGCAGCGGGAGCACGATTCGGAACGAGCGGGGCCCGAAAATGAGGCCGGCGCCTCAGCGAGAGCAGCATTTTGAAACAAAACGCAAGCGAAAACCCAGCTCCCGGGAAACCTGTGTGTAATAAACAGGACGCGGGGGGGGGGCGCGAACACTCCCAGCACGTCCTCAGGGGAAGAGGGAGAGTAGTATTCATATTGAGTAGTTGTGGAGGAGGGGGAGGACGAGGAGGAGGCGGAGGAGGAGGGCCGTCACTCGGAGGAGGCGGGCGGGGGGCCGCCGCCGCGCCAACGTCGCGCGGCGGCCCCGCCGCGCGACGGCCCTGCGCGGCCGCGGCCGGCCTTCGGGGGCGGGACGGCGACGACCACGACCACGACCACGACCACGACGATGACAACGACGCCAGCGGCGACGGCCATGGCGGCGCTGGCGTCGACGACGACGACGACGACGACGACGACGATGACGACGACGACGACGACGACGGCGGCGGCGGCGGCGGCGGCGACAACGACGAGGATGGCGGCAACGACGACGTTAACGGCGGCGGCGGCGACGCCCTCCCTCCTCTCCCTCCGCCCTCCTCTGTCCGTCCCCTGCTTCCTCCCTCCCCTCCAGCCCCTGCCTCCTCCTCCTCCCTCCCCCCTCCACTCCCCTGCCTCCTCCCTCTCTCCCTCCCCTCCCATCCCCTGCCTCCTCCCCCTCCTCCTCCTCCTCCTCCTCCTCCTCCTCCTCCTCCTCCTCCGTCTCCTTGCCTCCTCCTCCTCCTCCGCCCCCTCCCCTCCTGCCCCCCCGCCTCCCGGCCGGCCGAGGCCCAGCGCGGCCGCGGCCGAGGCGGAGCGGAGGGCGGCGCGCGAGGCGAAGGAGCGCTCCGCTCGGCTCGTGTTCCATCCTCCTCCTCCTCCTCCTCATCATCATCATCCCTGCTCCTCCTCCTCCTCCTCCTTCTCCTCCTCGCTCCTCCTCCTCCTCCTCGCTCCTCCCCCTCCTGCGGGGCTCTCGTCGATCCCTCCGGCTCGGCTGGGATTTCCGTTCCGCTCGGGCTTCGGATGCCGACGGGGGCCTCGGTGCCTCCGTGGAGGCCCTGGTCTCCTTCGATCCAGGCCGTCCCGGCGCGGTTCGATGTTTCGACGGCTTCCGAGGTCGATGCGACTTCGGATTCCGATGTGGGCTTCGGTGCCTCAGTGGAGGCCTCACGCTCTTCGATCCAATCTGCTCGACGGGGTTCGATGTTTCGACGGCTTCCGATTTCGATTCGACTTCGGATTCCGATGTGGGCTTCGATGCCTCAGTGGAGGCCTCACGCTCTTCGATCCAATCCTCTCGACGGGGTTCGATTTCGACGGCTTCCAATTCCGATTCGACTTCGGATTCCGATGTGGGCTTTGGTGCCTCAATGGAGGTCTCACTCTCTTCGATCCAATCCGCTCGACGGTGTTCGATCTCGACGGTTTCCGATTTCGAATCGACTTCGGATTCCGATGTAGGTTTTGGTGCCTCAGTGGCGGCCTCACTAGGCGATCGAAGAAGAACAAGCTGCACAAACAGAAGCTCTCCGAGCTTCGCGCGGATTTCTTGGATCTGTACTGTGCCCCACCACCTGGCGGCAACTCCAGCGCCGATCCAAGAAATCCCTGCGGAGCTGCGACCAAAAATATGTTGATGCAGCTCTTCTTATTTGAGGTCTTCCCTCTACCTCCTCCTCCTCGTCCTCGTCCTTCTCCTCCTCGTCCTCGTCCTCGTCCTCGCCCTCCTCTCTCTTCCGTCCTCCCTCCCTCGCGGATCCCGCCCCTCTTCTTCCCCCTTTTGCCGCTTCCACCTGCGTCCTCCTCCTCTCCCCCTTCTGGGGGTCACGACCCAGACATTCGACGTCCTGTTATTTTCAGCACGCGGTCCACAGAAGTCCCCACCCTTTCCTCGGAAGTCTCATGATGTTCCAACCTACTTTAGCCTTGATCACAAGAGAGAATTTCGAGCACCAGAAAAGTGCCCCAAACCTCAAGGATTTTCACGTGTTGGGGTTCTGGGAGACACTCGTCCGGCACTGTTTCGACACTGTTTCGACACTTCGGATGCTCGACATTATTTCTGGGATGTGGTCTTTCAAGTACGATGGGAGCAACAGAACTCTGGGGGTCAGGACCCAGACATGCGACATCCTGGTTTTTGCAGAAGTCTCCACCCTTTCTCCGGAAGTCCTGACTCGAATCGTTGTTCGGCGTTCTCGGGGTCCGGCGGGGGCCCCCAGAGGCCGAAAAATTGGCCAACGTTTCCCGCCGTGTTTTTGTTCGCGACCCGGTCATGTCTGGGAGGGCAGTCTGACCGCATTGGGGTCGTCTCCGCCTTCTTTTCCCGGCCACCTGCGCTGCGAAGAAATACAACTACGGCGGCAGGGAAGAAAAGCGGCTCGGGATGCAGCCGGACCGATCTACTCATCCGTTCTTGTTTGCCCCGGGAGCCTGGGGCCGGAGGATCGCGCCGCATCGCCGATGCATCGGCGATGCGGCTCGATGTGGAGCCCGCATTTCCTCCACGCAGGCGGCGCCGATGCACCGCCGATCTCGCCGGTGGATCGTTGATGCATTGACGATGCATCGCCGATGCAGCGGGGATGCGGCGCGATCCTCCGACCCCAGCTATTCCGACCCCATCTAGGAGGCTTATAGGGAGGGCTCCCTAATGCTCTTTGTGTTTGTTGGGTTTTCTCGTGCACCCTGGGTAGGATACCTACACGACCACCCTTCGGGTGATAAGGAGGTTCGGGGGGGGAGGAACCAACGTCTCACTCGATCGGTCTGACTGTCGATCTCACTATCGATCTCACTATCGGTTTCGCTAGATCGATCTCACTCGATCGATCTCACAATCGATCTCACTCGATCTATTTCATTCGATCGATCTCACAATCGATCTGACTATCGATCTCACAATCGATCCCACTATCGATCTCACCATCGATCTCACAATCGATCTCACATTCGGTCTAACGATCGATATCACTATCGATATCACAATTAATGTCATCATCATCATCATCATCATCATCATCATCATCATCATCATCGTCATCAACGTCATCAACATCATCATCATCGTCAGCATCATCGGGACACCATCATCATCATCACCTCATCACCAACATCATCAACACCATCATCACATCATCATCATCATCATCATCATCATCATCATCATCATCATGGGGACACCATTATCGTCACCATTATCATCATCAGCAACATAAGCATCACCATCATCGAGACACCATCATCATCAGCGAAACACCACCATCATCAACATCATCATCATTGGAACACCATCATCATCGGAACACCATCGTCATAATCGTCACCATCATCATCATCACCATCATCGGGACACCATCATCATCAACATCATCATCATCACCAACATTGGGCCACCATCATCAAAATAATCATGATTATCACCTCATCCTCAACATCAACATCATCATCATCATCATCATCGGTGCACCATCATCAGCATCAGCAGCATCATCATCGGGACACCATCATCATCAACAGCATCATCATCATTCTCATCACCATCATCATCATCATCATCATCATCATCATCATCATCATCATCATCGGGACACCGTCATCATCATCATCATCAATTTTCTTCATCATCATCATCATCAAGTCATCTGCTCATCATCAACATCACCAGGATCATCAACATCATCATCATCATCATCATCATCATCCTCGGGGCACCATCATCATCATCAACATCATCATCGGGGCACCATCATCATCACCACCATCACCATCATCATCATCAGCATCGTCAGCATCATTATCATCATCATCATCATCATCGGGACACCATCATCATCACCACCATCACCATCACCATAATCATCATCATCATCATCATCACCACCACCATCATCATCATCATCATCATCATCATCATCATCATCATCATCATCATCATCGTCAACATCATCAACATCATCATCATCATCATCATCATCATCATCATCATCATCATCATCATCATCATCATCGGGACACCGACGGGACACCGGCGGGACACCGGCGGGACACCTCGGGGCACCGGTTGTCGGAAGGGAGACTTTTGGTCCGGCCGCGCCTCAGCTACAGGAGACTTATTTCTCGCCCGCCCACGCAGCTCGCCGTGCCTCGGGACTGTCAACAAACGACTCGTGTGAAAAATGGGTCCAGAGGAATGGGTCGAGACCTTCAGGGGTCGACGTACTGAAAAAATCATGACGTCGGGGGTCTGGGAACAGCGGTCAGCCAGAGAGCCCGATCATGCAGGATTTTGTAGGGCCAGGGTCGCATTGTCCCGGGCTTGGGCGGAGGATGCAGGAGCAGCTTCCTCTGCACTGACCCGGGCTTGTGCGCAGGATCTTGCAAGATCTTGCAGGATTCTGCAATGCCTGACTGATCCGGGCTTGGATTGACCCGGGTCAGAAGATCCCCGACTAGAATTAATCGGGTATAGCCAGGACCCCAGGTAAGGGGACCAGGGTAGTGGTATAGGGCCTTGGAGCCCCTAAAGTGGCCAGAATCACTAAACCAGGTCTGCCGTAGTTGGCGTTTTTTCGGGTGACGGCAGTTCCGGTTAGTGGAACGAGGCGGGGGGTCGTCCCCAGTACACATCATTAAACCAGGTCCCACTAAACCAGTCCTGCCAACGCCCGAGTGAAGTCGGCCACGTTCCTCTACAGGAGGACGATTCAAAAATAGTCAAACAATAGTCTGGGGATGATGTTTGTAAAGTATGTTTTAAGCATGTTGGGCGTATTATTTGACTATGTCTTAGTTTTCGTCCAATATCCCCCTGTAGGGGGACAGGCCCGACCTAAGCCTAGAGGTTGACACCAACACTTATGTCGGCGGTGCGCCTCCACCGAGGGAAGAAGATCCCGATCTCGGTGATTGTGGCAGTGTTCTAGCTTCCCAGGTGACCGACGTATTTTACCAGCACCGAAAGCTAGGAAGCTAGGATCATCTTCCCTCTGTGGAGGCAACCTCCTGAGTTGGTGTTGGTGCCCGTTTCCAGGCCTCCAAAGATGGGGTCGGAGGTTCGCGCCGCATCGGCGATGCATCGGCGATGCGGCTCGATGTTCACCGAGCGGGCTCCGCTACTCACAAAGTGCCAGCTTGCAAACGTCGGGGAAAAAAACAGGTCTTCCTATATGTGATCGATCGTGACCTTCCGCGGCTGATCCAGGCCATTTGCGAGCAGTTATTTTGCGAGTAGTGGAACGCGCTTGTCTAGATGTGGAGCCCGCTTTTCGTCACGCTGGCGGAGCCGGTGCGTCGCCGACGTCGCCAACGCAACGCCGATACATCGGCAATACATCGGCGATGCGGCGCCATTCTCCGACCCCAGCTGTCGGACGGGGCTAGGATTATACAAGTCAGGCATTTCCCTCTACAGGGGGAATATTCAGAAATTGTAAAATAGTATGAAAATTTGTGAGGATAATTTTTTACTGTTTTGAAGTGTGTGTGTTGAATGTGTTTGACGACTCTTTATTTTTTCTACCAAAATCCGCCTGTAGGGGGACGCCCGACCTAAGGCTACGGTGCCCAGACAAAAAGTGTCCACGCCGATGGCGCGAAGATAATATGGCATGATGGTAACGACAATTGCAATGTACATGTGGCTCACCCCCCTCACCCCTAAACCCAAAGTTGAAGTGTCCACATGTTGTCCCCCGCGCGTTGCCTCGCACCCAACCCCTGTCAACTTTGAGTTGGGGGGGCGGGGACTATGGATATTTGTTCGACGCTGTTCGATGTCATATCATATTGGTGCCATGGGTGTGGACACTTTTTGTCCACCCACAGTAGGACGAGGAAAAATGAATCTGTTCCAGACCGGTCGGGGTCGCTCCGAGAAGGCCGCGGCGCCCGAGACATCCTCCAGATCCCCCAGATCTGAGAGATTCTCGAATTATCCCCACTCAATGTTATCCTTGTCCTGGCTTCGTCTTGCATCGACGATGCGGCGCGTTCCTGGTCGTCTGCGCCGACATTTACGCGAAGTTGCTCGCGTAAGGTCGCGCGTGAGCGCCCTCATCCCTGCTGCAGCGTGCTGCGCTGGCGGTCCGCGCAAGGTCGCTGTGCCACTCAGCTTGCGACCCGGTCTCTTGGCATCGCTCGGACGTGTGAATTTGTTCTTGGTGAGGACCCTCGAGGAGCACTTTTGGGGTCCCCTTGCGAAAAAGTGCACGCACGAGGCTGAACAATGCGCGAGGAACGGGCGTCCGAGCGATGGCGAGTTTTTGATCGTCGCCCATCTAACTGACCCACAAAGTTATTTCGTTTTGACCTCTCCCTCTGATCCCTGGACGGCGAATAAAGTTGGTCCTAAAACCTCTTCGCCGCGGCGGGGATTAGTTTCCCCCTCTAGCTGGGCGGGCTGGGTGATGCTTGGGGGCTACTCCAGCGGGATGCTCCAGTGTGGGCGACCCTGCGCGCTGGAGGATTTGTTACTCGGATCCCATCTTCGCAGGCCTATAGGTTGACACCAACACCAACTTCGGCGGCGTGCCTTCACCGAGGGAAGAAGACCCCGATCTCGGCGATGGTGGCAATATTCTGGCTTCCAAGGTGACCGAAATATGACCACCAACACCGTCATCTAGGATCATCTTCCCCATGTGGAGGCAACCCCCTGAGTTGGTGTTGGTGCCCCTTTCCAGGCCTCCAGAGATGGGGTCGGAGGTTCGCGCCGCATCGGCGATGCATCGGCGCTGCGGCTCGATGTTCACCGAGCAGGCTCCGCTACTCGCAAAGGGCCAGCTTGCAAACGTCCAGAAAAAAAACAGGTCCTCCTATATGTAATCGATCGTGACCCTCCGCGGCTGAGCCAAGGCATTTGCCAGCAGTTATTTTTCGAGCAGGCAACCCCCTGTGCTGGTGTTGGTGCCCATTTCCAGGCCTCCAGTGTCCAGGAGGCCTCTGCCGTGGCCACCCTTCGGTCGGGTGCGGGGGCAGGTGCCGCGCCGTGCGCGCGCGCGGAGAGAGGTCGATCCCGCGGCTCCTGCCTTCGGGGCGCGGTGCCGCCGCCGAAGGCCTGGGATTGGTCTTAGGTCGGGCATGCCGCCCCCTTGGGGCGAAGAAAACTGTGCACGTGCACCGGCCCTGGCAAGGCCCATCCTTGACCCAGGATCGGTGCACGTATGCCTTCCTGGCCAAGGTAGGAGGGCGTACGCACCGATCCTGGGCTCAGGATGGGCCTGGTCAGGATCGGTGTATGTGCATAGTTATTTTTCCTCTACCCATACAGGCGGATTTTGGAACCAAACAAAAGAAATGGCAAGACATATCAAAACATGTTCAAACATATCTTCAACACGTCGTCCCCACACTATTTGTATTGACGACTTCTGGAAAAACCCTCCTGCAGCGTGGCACGACCGACTGGAGATCAGTCGATGCAGAGCGGTCTGCGCGGACTCGGCCCCTCGATCCTCGAACTCCTGCCCTCGATTCATCGAGGACAAAGGAACCCCTGACCTTATGATGTTCAAACCTGCTGTGGCCCTGCTCACCAGAACTAAATTCGAGCGCCAGAAAAAGTACCCCAAACCTCGAGAGTTTTCACGTGCCGGGCCCTGGGAGACACTCTTTCGACACTGTCTCGACACTCGTTGGGCACTCTTTCGACACTTGTCCGGGTGCTCGAAATTATTTCCGGGATGTGGTTTTTTAGTACGATCGGAGCCACATAACCTTGACCCTGATAGCACGAGGGAGGCGTGGCCTCACTGATGTCCCCCTCTTCTCGGGGGCGGAGAAGAGGGGGGGGATGACCAGGGGGGGGTGGATATCATGGCGTGGGCCATGATATTTCCCCAGATTTCATGGCGCCTCTTCTTATTTCATTGCGTCCCTGGCCCCCCCGCTGGGCCGCGCACATGCCGCCGGTCATGATTTGCAACCCCCCTCTTGGACACCCCCCTCTTGGCCGCTCCCGATCTTCGCATCGGGGATGGGCAATTCTGGGCGGTCTGGTCTGGTGCATCGGCAGAGAAGACCCCCTGTCCCTGATGTTCTTGGCCCTCCTTACCTAGGTCCTCTTTCAGGGGTCCTCCTTTGGTTAATCATCGATGTTCAGTCGTCGATCCTTGAGCCACATGGTCGTCGTCGTCGTCGTCGTTTGGGACCGTTCGACACAAGAGGATCTGCGCTCGGGGAAGCGTAAGACTCGGGTACGCCAGAGCTCGGATTCGGCGACGCTTTTTGACGAGCGCGTCCTCGGTTCGGACGGTCTATTCTTCGTGGGATGTCTGCGGCGGGAGCTCGTGTCAGAGTTCAGACTGGGTCTCGTCGTTTTCATGAGGGCCTCGTCAGGCCAACCCGAGACCCCCGAGCCCGAATCTTACGTCTCCCCGATGCGCTATCGGCCTTGGTCTTCGAACCTGGAGCTTCGATCTTCGATCCTCGATCCTCGAGCCTCAATCCAGGATCGACATCATGGTCGTCGTCATCGTCGTCGTTGTCGTCGTCGTCGTCGTCGATCCTGCCGCGCCTGATCTGCGACTCCTCGAAGCGGCTGAGCGCCTCCGCGCGCGCACGCTGGCGGCAGAGGCCGCCGAGGGGGCCGCCGAGGGGGCCGCCGATGGGGCCGCCGAACGGCCGTAATCGCTCCGCGCCGAACCATCCACGCGGGGCCCGAAGCCAGCGCGCCAGTCGTCACGGCACGAGCTTGCCGCGCGAGCGCCGCGCCCCAGCGAGCGGCCGCCCCGAGGAGGCCGAGCGGAAGCTGCAGGAGCAGGCGGAGCTGGAGCGGCAGCCTCAGCCCCGCCGCCCGCGATCGGCCCGCGCCGTCGGCGATCGGGGCGGCGCGAGCTCAGGCCAGACTCCTCCTCCTTCTCCTCCTCCTCCTCCTAAAAATTTTATAGAGAAGAAGGCCACCGGAGAGAAGGCCGTCGCGCCGTTTTCGGCATCGAGGGGACTGAGGAGAGCGGCGCGGGCCGCAGCGCAGGTCTCCCGGGGGGAGGAGGTCGAGCGTCCCGGCTGCCTTGGGTGCTCGACAGGAGTCCAGCGGTCGGAAGCCTACGTCGGAGGGCACCAACTATACACCAACACCGATCCTGGCCCAGGATCACCCTGGGCCCAGGATCGGTGTATATGCCTTCTTGCGCAAGGGTGATCCTGGTCAGAATCGGTGTTGGTGTATAGTTGGTGCCTTCCTACTACGGCCTCGGCTTTGGCTGGCCGGTCGACCCGACTCGACGGACGATGCTCTGGCGATCGGAACCGGTGCGGCCATGCGCTTCCACGGCGCAGTTGTGCCTGTTGGCGTGGCCAGCTCTGCTCGGCTTCGGGAGCGGGTCGCTGCGGCCAGGTTCGATGCGCGTGCCGAGATCCAGTCCGATGTGTTTTTTTCAGTTCGATGTCGACCGAGCTAAGCGTCTGCTGTTGCCCGCACGCCACTACTCTTGGCTCGAGGGAGAAGACCAGAGGCAGCAGCGTGGAATGGGGATTCCACGCTGCTGCCTTCCGGGCAACGCGTCCCCCTCCTCCGCGGCCCCCTGGCCCTCCATCTTCCTGTCGTGCCATTGGGTTTCCTCCTCCACCGGCGCCTGCTCCTGCAGCCCGTGGAGCACGACGACCGCTGCATCCCCCGCCTCATCGTCGTGTTCCTCCTTCTCCTGGCAGTCCTGACCATACTCCTCTTCCCGCTCCCTCTCTTCCTCTTCTTCCCCCTCCCCCTCCTCTGCCTCGTGTTCCTGTCCCTCCTGCTCCTCATCCTCCTCCCCCTCATCTCCTCCTCCTCCCTCTCCTCCTCCTCGTCTTCCTCGTGCTCCTGCACCTCCTTAGCCTCATCCTCCCCCTCCTCGTCTTCCTCGTGCTCCTGGACCTCCTCCCCCTCCTTCTCCCCATCCTTCGCCTCCGAGACCTGGCGCTCCGGGTGTCCACGCACAGGCAGCCTTCAGAGGCCTGCCTGCCTCGCGCGCGCGGGTCGAAATGCGTCGCCTGGTTGCGTTTGCTGTGGCGGCTGCGCCCGCGGGCGGGTTGAAACGTGTCGCCTAGTTGCGGTTGCGGTTGCAGTTGCGCCCGCGGACGGGTTGAGATGTGTCGCATAGTGCGAAGGCGGTTGCGGTTGGGTCCGCGGGCGGGTTGAGATGTGTCGTCTAGTTGCGCTTGCGGTTGCGCCCGCGGGCGGGTTGAGATGTGTCGTCTAGTTGCGCTTGCGGTTGCGCCCGCGGGCGGGTTGAGATGTTGCGCCCGCGGGCGGTTTGAGATGTGTCGCCCGGTAACGGTTGCGGTTGCGCCCGCGGGCGGGTTGAGATGTGTCGCCGGTTGCGGTTGCGGTTGCGTCGGGTTGAGATGTGTCGCCCGGTTGCGGTTGCAGTTGCGTCCGCGGGCGGGTTTGATGTGTCGCCCAGTCGCGGTTGCGGTTGCGCCCGGGGGCGGGTTTAGATGTGTCGTTTAGTGCGGATGCGCTGGCGGTTGCGCCGCGGGCGGGTTGAGATGTTTGTGTTGGTTGCGGTTGCGCCCGCGGCGGGTTGAAATGTGTTGCGCGGTTGAGCTTGCGCGGGCGGGCTGAGTGTGTCCGGTTGCGGTTGCGGTTGCGCCCGCGGGCGGGTTGAGATGTGTCGCCCGGTAACGGTTGCGGTTGCGCCCGCGGGCGGGTTGAGATGTGTCGCCCGGTTGCGGTTGCGGTTGCGCCCGCGGGCGGGTTGAGATGTGTCGCCCGGTTGCGGTTGCAGTTGCGTCCGCGGGCGGGTTGAGATGTGTCGCCCAGTCGCGGTTGCGGTTGCGCCCGGGGGCGGGTTTAGATGTGTCGTTTAGTGCGGATGCGCTGGCGGTTGCGCCAGCGGGCTGGTTGGAATATGTCGCCCAGTTGCGGTTGCGGTTGCGGTTGCGCCCGCGGACGGGTTGAAATGTGTTGCATAGTTGCGGTTGAGCTTGCGCCCAGGGCGGGCTGACGTGTGTCGTTTAGTTGCGGTTGCGGTTGCGGTTGCGCCCGCGGGCGTGTTGAAATGTGTCGTTCAGTTGCGGTTGCGGTTGAACCCAGTTGCGGTTGCGCCCATAGGCGGGTTAAAGGGTCGGTTAGTTACGGTTGCGGTCGCGCCCGCGAGCGGGTTGAAATGTGTCGCCTAGTTGCGGTTGCGGTTGCGCCCGCTGGCGGGTTGAGATGTGTCGTCTAGTTGCGTTTGCGGTGGCGGTTGCGCCTACGGGTTGGTTGAAATGTGTCGTTCAGTTGCGGTTGCGCCCGCGGGCGGGTTGAAACGTGTGTTTTAGTTGCGGTTGCGGTTGCGCCAGTAGGATGGTTGAAATTTGTCACGTAGTCGTTGTTGCGGTTGCGGTTGTGCCCGTGGGCGGGTTGAGTTGTGAAGGGATTGCCCCCCCACACACGGTTTTTTTTTCAAGTAATTCAAGGTAGGGAAAGGTTACAGATCGAATGCGCATCTGACATACGATTCCAATGCAATTCCGATACGCACGAAATGCGCAGTACGATTCCAACACGATTCCGACACGATTCCAATACGTGTTTGGTACGATTTCGATGCGATTCCGATACGCACGATCTGGTTTCAATAAGATGTCAATACGATTCCGATATGATCCAGTCCGATGCAATTTCTTCTTTTTGTTCCCATCCCTTCCATGCTCCTCCTCTATCTGCCCTCGCCTTCTCCCTCTCCAGCTCTGTCTCTCTCCCTTTCTCTCTCTGTCTATATATATATATATATATATATATATATATGTGTATGTATGCATGCACGGCGCTATATGGTTTACAGTTAAAGATCATATCATCCCCCCTCCTACCCCTATCGAGCGATCATGATGATCATGTTATGGAATTCCCGCTCTCTCCTTCTCCCCCTTTCTCTCTATTCATCGACCTCCGCCCTCCTCTCGTCTCTTCTCTTTCCTCTTATCCTCCCGCCTTCCCCTTCTCTCCCCAAATCTCGGGAGGGGCCGGAGGCCGGACGGGAGAGATCGATCGTCGAGCCTCCCAGTCGTGGCCGGCCAAGGCCCCCCACCAGGGCCGCGACGGTTGAGAGGATTTCTTGGGCCAACCTCGTCGTTTACCGGCTCGCCGATAGCCCCACCGAACAATGTTCTAAGAACCGTTCGTGATCCCCACGAACTGTTCTTAGAACATTTCTGGTTGGGACTGCCTTGTTTTAACACATCGGGTTTATGTTCTAAGAACATTGTGTTGTTCTTAGACAATTTTTGGGTTCTAAGAACATTTCGTGGTATGACTATAGGAATGCCGGGACGGTCGGTTCCTTCTCAATGGATCGGGGGGCCCAACGAAAGGGGGGGGGATAGGGAAAGGGGGGGTTACGACATCTGCTGCGTGCAGCTGGCTTCGGCCCTGCCGCCGGGCCCATTCCTCGATACATATGGGCGCCTCCCAGCGCTGGGAGGCGCTGGGAGAATCGGCCACGTGAGCTGGTTCTCTGCCCTACCCGTTGCTATCTCCCCCTCTCATTCCAGAAAACTGGCCTTTTCTACCCTACCTTTTGCCATTCCCCCCTTTGCTACCCTACCCTTTGCTACCCCCTTGCTGCCCTCTGCGATCCCCCCGGGGAGATGCGCACGTGTCGAGCTCGAGAGGAGTGGCCTGCGGACGGGGAGCGGCGGCGAGCCGCTCGAGGAGGACGTGCGCGGGGCGAGCCCTCCCGGGAGCCCAGGGAGGCGGCGGGTCCCCCGAGAAGCTCCAGGGGGGGGCCCAAGAGGGCCCCAATGCTACAGTCAGAAACCCTAATAAGGACGCGCGACTTTGCTCAAGGTGCCCTTGCGTCCTTGCTCTTCCCTGCTCTTGCGTCCTTGGGGCTTTCGTCGTCCACCGCCCCAAAAATCCCAACTTCGGCTTCCAAGGGTCTTGCGTCCTTGCCGCGCGTCCTTATTAGGGTTTTTGACTGTAGTGCACGATCGCGCAAATGCTGCAACCTACTCTTGGGCCCCCCCGGGGTCCTCTTGGAGCCCCCCCCTGGGGCCCTCTTCGGGGACCCCTCGGGGTCCTCGTAGGGAAGGCGGGCCCGGGACGGCCCAGAGAGGGGCATCTTTTGGACGGATCCCTCCGTCCTCCCCCTCTTAGGCGCGCGTCCCCTCCCTCCTTCCCCCGCCCCCCATCGCGCTTATCCGCAACTGCGGGGTGCGATGTTGAAGTTGGAAGAATGAACTGGCCATCGCTCGGACGTCCATTCCCTGTGCTCTTTTCGGTTTCGCGCGTGTTTTTTTCGCCAGATGGTCGAGGATGCTCATCGACGGTCTTCGCTGGAGGAAAAATGCACACGTCCGAGCGATGCCAAATTAATGTTCTAAACCACCTACGCCAAGGGGCCCAGAGGGCTGGTAGAATTTCGGGGCTCAGGGGGCCGTCAGGGCGGCCCCTTAAAGGGGCTCCGGGGCAGACCTCGGGAACTCTGGACAGAAGGCCCCGCCTGGAGCTGCACGGGGCCCTCCTGGCCTCCTCTGGGTACAATCTCGAGCGGAGAGATGCAGTTTAAGCATGCTGTTGTTTCGAGCAGATGCCGTCTCCAGTCTTCGCTTGAATCTGGACCCCACGAGCTGGAAAGGAACAAAGTTCAAGAGGGCTCTACGGGGGCTCCATGACGCCCCTGAGAGCCACTCTTGGGACCCTCACTGGCGGCCCGAAGGCCGCAGCTCTGTGCGGACCTCCAAGCAGCGATCCTTGCCCCCTGAGGCGCGCTCCCTGGTGATGCGGGGGCTTGGGGGCCTGTTGGGGCGTGCTCCCCGGTGATTGTTGTGGCAGGAGGGCTTGGGGGGGCGCGCTCCCGGGTGACTCGCGC